AAAATATAAAGTTTTACTGAAAACAAACGTTTGAAATGTATTTAGGAGGTTTTAGAGATTACACAAATAATATTTGAGATTTTGGGGATGAACAGTAGTTTTTTTTTTAGTTATAACATGAAAATCACTTCACAATTGGACTGGTAAAGAAACAGATTCAATATTTTCACAAACAAATCTTTAGTAAAGATACTTCGGTAAATAATCTCATTTTTTGTGTACAGAAGACTTGTAACCTTTACTAACAGTGTACCAAATTTTGTGAAGATGCACATACAGCATTATAAGTTATAGTATAAATACTTAATGAGTGCAAATGTGTTTATAAACTCATGTATTTTATACCAAGCTCATCGAGAAAGGGTTAAACAGAATGCATTCACAGTATGGCCTGATGGCTAAAGCACATGATTCAGAATCTACAGGTCGCAGGATGAAAATCTGGTGCCAAAGATACTTGCCATTTCAGCCATCAGGGTCATTCTAATGTGATGGCCAATCCCACTATTTGTTGGTAAATTGTATCCTCAGAGTATGTGGTGGGTGCTACCAGCCAATTGCCTGACCCTATAGTTGGCAGTTTGAAATTATTGATGGTGGTAGGTAGCCTTAGTAGTTTTGATATAAATAAATTTCAGAAATAAATAAACTACAAAACAGCTAAAAATTGAATCTAAAAAAAAACAAATTTGTGGATGGCATCGGTATTTCTCCAGAGTCAACCTGGCATCATCAGGGTGGTATGTCAACCCCAACCATGTATTGATATCCACAGTAATTGTAGAGCAGAAACATTTGAGGTAATATATGCAAGTTCCACTATAGTGCATTAATTTTTATGAGAAATACATTTTTTTGTGCAGTCTCGGCAATGTGTCATTTCATCTAATGTTTTGTACATGATGCTTTATGTGTAGGAAAAAAGAATATTTTGTTTTTTACATATTTGGTAATTCTGTGTGTGACCTTACAACTTCAGAAACGTTTATGAATATTACATGTTGGTAAATATTTTCAGTGGTTAAATAATTGGCTAGAAAGCAGTTTGAAAGAAATAGTTCTCTGTATAATTTTTCTCTTTTTTCAACAAATGTTTATATGAATTTGAAGTAGGAGTTGACCTCTGACCTTTTAGTAACTGTCAACTGTAAGAGTTGACCTTGAAGTAACTGTCAACTGTAAGAGTTGACCTTGAA